TTTCTGGCCTCTAGAAAAGAGTTTATCCTCTTCTAACAAGTCTAATAATAAAAACTGAGCCATACTGCTCTCCTACAATGAAATTCTATACCATTTCCAGTGGAGAAAAAAAGCTTCACTGAATGCCGAAACAGCTGGCAAAGAAACTATAAAGAGTGATCATAAAATTATTAAGTGAGGAGATGACCACCCTCTAGCATATAGCCAAGCCTTTTACACTAATCTGAAAATGGAATATATTTTGCCTTACCAGCCTATCCAAACTTGTGCCAGCAGCAGTTGTAGGTTGCTCCTCTGGGTTATATGGTCTAAACCGGGTATTGAAGTTTTCAGGGACAGAACGGGAAGATCTCAGGGCAGGTGCTGGTTTAGGTTGGCCACATCCTTGGAAAACCTGAAAAAAGACATTCTTCATTATATGTTGGTTATATGAAAAACGTGAAAAAAGGCCATTTTTTTAACCTCTTTATTCTTTCTTTTGTATACTTGAAACAAGGTTTGATTGACATTTTTATACTAATAGATTGAGTGCTTGGCCTGCATTAAAACTCAGGTTAATAATTTAGCATTATTAATCACTTGGTGAAGGTATAGAAACATATAGGAACCTTAAATCCCCCTTAATTTAAATAGGTGATTATTATGACAAATTAACATCTGAAGGCATCTTAATTGCTGTTTTTCCAGGAAGAAGAATGCACAAAAGGATGTCCTTTGTGGCCAGAAGTAGTTGATAGCTGTTTTCAGTTTTATTAAAATGCAGTATTTACCCAAAATCACAGGTCATCTATAATCCCTACCTACAGCTCTTTGTATTTTGCAATTTTATTTGTAGTCTTAGAGAAAAAGTCTATGATGAAATAGTCTTGTAACTGGATAACTTTCTTATTCCCTACCAATCTCTCCCTAGAAGAAGGCTGAGGCAGACTGAGTGGGCAACAGTGATAATTATTTTCTGCTGTTTTGTTGTTTTGTGGGTATAGAAAATAATGTTCGCAGTTATTAAATTCTTCATATACTTCCATTTGGAAAAAAGTTTCAGTGTTGTGTATCTGGTAGGTACTAAAGGACACAGAGGACACTTTTGACTACTGGATATCAAGAATATTTCCCAGAGGCATTTTCGCACAAGCTGCACATCCAAAAAGAGGTAGAAAATCCACAAAATTTAAAATTCAAGTGCTGTCATGAAGTAGAATCCTAGTTTTTGCCTTCACACAAACTTTTTCAGTTTTAGAATTACCCTTCTGGTTTTGTGACCATTGTATTTTGACTGTTTCAACATTTTTCCTCCATTCAAAAGAAAAATAATTGAATGTCAGAATTTCTTGTAAGATATATTATACAAAACCCTAATGCCATACACAGACTGTTTGAATGAGCTTTGTGGGGGTGAAAACTATACAAATGCTTGTTTTGATTGTAGGACCAAATTACTCCTTGTTGTGTGGCTATGTTGGTTTCTGTGGCCAGGTTTTGGTAGTGGGGGTGGTTTCTCTGAGAAGCTGCCAGCAGCTTCCCCTGTGTCCAGCACAGCCAATGCCAGCCAGCTCCAAGACAGACTCTGCTGGCCAAGGCTGGGCTGATCAAAAATGACAATGATAGCCCTGTGATAACATAGTTATGAAGGAAAAAAAGTTACTGTGCAGATGTAATTGTGGCCAGAGAAGAGCGGAGTGAGAACATGTAAAAGGAACAACTCTGCAGACACCGAGGTCAGTGCAGAAGGAGGGGCAGGAGGTGCTGCAGGCGCCAGAGCTGAGATTCCCCTGCAGCCCATGGTGAGGCAGGTGTGTCCCTGCAGCCCATGGAGGTCCATGGGGATACAGAGATCGACCTGCAGCCCGTGGAAACACCCACACCAGAGCAGGTGGGTGCCTGGGAGGAGACTGTGACCCCATGGCAGGCAGACCTGTGGAGAGAGGAGCCCACACTGGAGCAGGTTTGCTGGTAGGACCTGTGACCCTGTGAAGGGACCCACACTGCAGCAAGCTGTGCCTGAAGGACTGTAACCTGTGGAAGAGTGACCCAAATCCATGGTGCAACTTCTGCTCCTTTCAGGGTACATTAAATTGGCTCTCAGGTTACCTGATGTTAATTTAGAGGCCCCAAATGATTCAAACTTTGCTGAAAGAAGCTGATTAATACTAAATATATGTCCAATCATCAGGTCTGTTTTTGCTCAAAGTCCAGCAAGTCAGCTGTTGTATGGCCATTGGGATTTTTAATTTATGAGTGAATACTGTTTGGTCTGGTTTGAGAATATCTAAGAGTTTCAAGCTTCCCTAGTCCCGAGGACTATTGGACAATAAATTAATCAACCAAGAAAAATGATTTTAGCTTGTAAAGCTCTAAAGCCTTCATCAGGAAAGAATCTTATTTTTCCTCTTCTTAAAATTTAACTAAGAAGAAGAAAATTTAACTAAGATTGATATTCAAAATTTGTACATGATTGTGTAGGATACTGTACAATTTAAAGGGTGAAATCTATATGTTAAGTGCATGAATTATACTTACAAAAGTTTACTTAATGCTTCTGATTTGAGATAAGTTATGCACTGAAAACATAATTGCTTATTTAGATATATATAAAATCCCATTTACTCAATTAAGCAACTGGGTATTTGCCTATGAAGAAAGCGACAATTATCCAAAACATATAACTAGATTCTCAGGAGAAAGGAAAGTGAGGGAATGTCTCCTTAAAAGTCCCAGTGTATGATTGTTAAGCTACTTGTATGACCATGTGGTGCAACTGCAGGTCTACATAATTTATATTACATCTTTCTTATGATGTACTGAAAGAAATCCAACAGAGACTTTGTGGCATTTATCTTCATACAAATAGTTGCAGCCAGTGGTTTCATACAAAGACATTTACATACAGTCAGACAATAACAGAGATGGAAACTAGACAGTAACATTTATATCACAGAAAAAGAAATAATGGAAATGCAGTAAGGATACAATATTCAGTAACTGAATTTTGAGTGCAAAAGAGACACTTTTAAATTTGCATCGGTATTGACAGAATACAAAATGTAAAGAAAATAACTGATATTAACAAATGCTTCCTAAGAAGAAGTACATTGAATACTTTCTTTACAATGCTACTCAGAAGTATTGAACAATTTCTGGGAAAATATTTAGGTGTTTCATTACACATGCTGTAAATTGGTAGTATAAACCCACTCTCTAAAAATTGTATTTTATATATAATTGGTGCAGTCAATTTAATCTGAATTTAGAGAATAGATTCCATTTGAAATTAAGAAAGCTAAATTTAGTTGTCGTTGTATATGTGTCTACATTTGAGCTATACATCTAAGATAGGGGAGATCAAAAACTTCCTTCTGTTTCTCTCTCATCAGCACCTACAGTCATTTGGGATGTTCTGGGATATCTGAGATGCCTGTTAAGATTTTATAACATAAAACCATTCCCTTCTGAACTGCTGTTAAAGCTCAAATGGACCAAATCTCTGTGGTCAGGCATATTAACCAAACCATGAGAATAAGTCAACAGAGCCAGTGAAGAATTAAATCTCTTGAGATGACTAAATGGAAGTATCTACTTCAGGACTAGGATGTAGATACTGTAGAAAAAAGAGCCCCTTTCCCAGGAGAATTTGAAGTTTTGAATTTTTGTGGAAGACGTAGTTCTCTGTGAAGCCTTGGGTCATACTGTTATTTAGCTGTGTGCTAGTGCTCAGTGTTTCCAGTTGAGTGTCTCTATATGATTCTGCTCCATTGACTCTTCAGATAGAATAGCATTGATTTTTTTACCTGAAATGCCATTATATTTTTCCTGCACAGAGCTCTGGAAAGAACACCGATAAATGAAGAGGTTTTCTTAGTATGAAATTTGTGGACTATTTTAAGAAGAACTTTGGATGTAGTTCTGTGAAGATATCTTTCTTATAAATAATGCATAGGTAGTCTGCTATGTCATGGAGCTCATTCATCCATTTAGCTGAAGTAATTGCTGAGAAGGAACATATATTTATAGGTTAAAATGGCACATCCATCAACTCAGATAAAGCAGATTTAAGATTTACTAAAAGGAAACTCAGTTATATGGGATAGACTATATGAAAGTGGAAAAATCTGGTCATGGCAGCCAAATGACTCTTCCAGCAGTCTAACATACTTGTCTAGGACCAGACCATTGCAGAAAATAGTTCAATATGTTGTGTTTTGAGCAGCAATGAAGAGATGATTATGCTGATGCAATCAGATTAGGAAATTTCTCCATTTTCAAAAAAAAAAAAAAGGATGTTTTAACATATTTTGTGCTGGGCTTTTTTGAGTTTTCCTCCACCTGTGAATGAGCAATCTCTGCTGATATCAAATAGTAAACATTCATGTGTTTAAAATGGAGCAGATGTAGCATTTACTATTTGACTTGAAGCAGGAACCAAAGGTGTTGGTACTGACATCCTTGTGGGAAAACTGTGAAGGCTCTCAAAACATGCTTGTTTTGGCCAAGATTGAAATGAGTATTTATGTGTTATGACTCTGAATATGACAACCTGAATTACCTCAGGGACAATGAGAATGAGAATAAGGCAAATATATGATATGACTAAGTCTGGGATATGAGCTGAACCCTGGGAAACAATGCACAAAATGTAAAAATTTTGCCTGAGAAATAATCAACATATTTCTGAGCACTGAATTTGGCACTATATTGTTCAAATACCAAAAAGGTTTCACTGGAGAATAATGGAGAGATTTCAATAAAGAGGATATCCTGTCTCAGCTGTTACAAGCAGAAATCCAAGGTAAATCTACTGCACTATGACTTCTGCCAGAGGCGACCTTCAGGGAACATTACTTTAGTCTGAGTAGACCCAGGCTGCAAGGCCTATTCTTAAAAGGTACTGATGTCTTGGGAGGCATCTCACACAGCCCAGGCTGATTGTTTTGCACTCTCTGTGATGTCACTTGTGGAAGGTACTCTGTAAGAATGGCTGCAGGTGTTAGATGATGACTCTATGGAAACTGGTTTTGATGATCAACAGACCTTGTCTTTTCTTGGAGAAGGGAAACTTGGGGCGTATTCAGAGCACATAGATCCTTCCAGCAGAAAGGCCTTGGGCCTTGGCATGTGACTTTCTATACCATTGCTCTTTTTTGACAAGCGTCTCCAATTGTCACAGCTGTCAGTAATGGGACCTTCCCTGAAGCAGATGAAGGACCTTTTGTGGCTGTCATTAAGGGACAGTTGTGCAAGGTGAGCAGCCAAGAAGCCTAGATTTGTGGTCAGACTTCCTGGGCAGTGCTGAATATAAACTGCTGAGAAATACCAAGAAAACAGAGAAAGATTGCAGCCTCAGCATGAATTGGAGGATTTTAACATAATACTAGCACATGTTTAATGTGAACTGTGCTGGAAGAAATGACTGTAATCATCACACAAACAAGAAAAGTTAATGGCCTTAGAACAGATGATGAGACGCTCCGTTTTATGCAGTGAGAGATATTGAATGTGTCTTAGGCTGAAAGTCCTTGGTCAGCAGGACAAAGATAGAAGAGGTACATGTGGTATCTCTATAATTTTCTGTCTCAGTATTGATGTGCAGCTATCAAAAGAGGAAGACAGAGGATCTATGTCTTCTAAGGAAATGAAAGACAAGGAGTGAACTCAAGCAATAAGCCTTGACTTTCTGCACTGATTAATTGTTAAGTCATTGGCTTTTCCTTGGACTTTTGGAATAGGGCAATTTTATATAACCATTTGAAACATGAGTGCTGGATTTTGGATAATCCAGAGCTCTGGGTCTTCTGCCTACAAAGAGAATGAAGTAAGTGAGAGCTCCTTGAGGAAGAAATATCTTGTTTTCATTTTTTTCCACTATGAAAAGAAAAAATAACATTATATAACATAGCCAAAAATTCTACTGAATAGAGCATAGAGTCTTCTCTCAGATATCAGCCAGGTTTTTAGATAGAAAAGGCTGCATGTAAGTGGTGAAAAGCAATTTATATGTATGTGGGTGTTGCAGGCATAGCATTATTAGTGCATCGTCATTTTTCCACTGTAAAAAGGCACTGACTGACTTGTGGAAAAAATAGCTATGATTCCTAGTCACCACATTTTTTAGTAGGTGCAGTCAAATAAAAGGTACAAAGCGGTCTGAAGAATGAGAAAATAGAAAATATCATGATTTCAATTCTCTGATTGAGTGACATCTCAGATTAATTGATGAGAGTGGCTTTTCTCCCACATTAGGTCTGCAATTGCATTCCATGCACCCTACTACATCTGGTGAAGTGTCTGTCATTTCCACTGAGACTCTAAGTGGTCAACATATATAAGGGGGAAGAATTAGATGACAGAGGACAGATACAAAGTCTGCCTGTATATCATCTCTGCAAATCTGACCTGGCATAGAAGAGGACAGCACTATACCCAAAGCCTTTGCCTTTTTTTAAGGGTAAAGCATTTCCATGTTACATGAAAAAGATGGCTTTAACCTAGGAGATCAAGGAAATCACATTTCACGAGAATAATGGTCTACAGAGAATATACAAAGGTCCCTCAAGGATAGACAGCTCTATTATCTATGAAAATATAATTAAATAAATTTTGCTGATATAATTTCCGTTCTACAAGATTAAAAAAAATATTGTCTAAGACTTCTCTTAGAGGAAAAATTTTTGCATTGCAAATGACATTGTTATTAATCTTTACAGCAAATAAAATATTTGTGAGAGACAGGAGAAACAGTCTACTCTGCTACAAACTAGTAGTGAGATCAGCTCATGCCAAAACATCATTGGACTCTGGCAGGGGATGCAGCTTTCCAGCTAATGGAAAAACTGTGAAAACTAAACAAGTAAAAGGGAAAACAAAATACACCTGGTCCTGGAGTGAGTTTTAAGTGAAAATATTTTTTGTTTATTTTTTGAGGTAAGGGCTGAGTTTGCTGAAGCCGACCTTTAATTCCCAAAATATTTGAGAGAATTTGGCTATTAAATACCTTGATCACTGGTGCCAGAATAAAGTCTCATCCTGCAGGATGTAGACTGCTTTTAAAATCCAAGGAACATCATGTAGGTTGAAAGCAAAAGGCATATTGAAGGAAACTCTTAGCAACCTGCAGCACTGGGGCTATAAAAAGCATCTAATTTTGGGCTGGCAGGAAGAATGTAAACCTCAGGCTCCTGCATTTTGTCCCCACTTTTTCTTCCCAGCTACAGCAGCTTCCTTCCAAGCAATGGACTTAGATGGCAGTGTGGCAGCACCTGACTACTGGGAGCTAAATGGGAGATAGAAGCACCTAATGCAGATAGCTTGGAGAGCTGTTGACTTTAGAATTTCAGCTACAGTGCACTGATGAATATTAAGGCAAAGCTATTAATTGTTGACTATTGGCTCAATAACACCTGCTCCTGAATTTGAAGGCTCTTTATTTACAGGGGGTTTGGAGGAGGTGGTGACCTGTGTATACACACACACATTAAAAATGGAAAGGAGGCAGCCGGTATCATTAGCTCTGTTTATCTTTGTGTCAGAATCCAGACAAAACTCTATCAAACTGAGGTCTGGTAATCAGAGACCGGCCAATGTAGTATTTCCCTAGAGTGGCTATTAAAGGAGGTCAAATGGAACATTTTGTGTATTCACCTCAAACACATTGTGCTCAGTCTGACCTAGATAAATCAAAATGTGTTTCGAAGTTAATATGGAGAATCACAGATGAGACACGAGTGGAAGTTAACAAGTATACTCTGCAGGATCATGCTTACAGAGTTACCACTGCTTTCCAGAACACTCTCTTTTCCTTAAATTGCTTACAGTTATTACTTTGAAGTTTAATAAATGGTAGCTTTCTCCCTTCCACTTCCTTTTGAAAAAATCAAGCTTGTTTAACTAGTTTAATGAGGAATTCAAAGCCAGAGTGGACAAGCAAAAGTAATTTCTGGTGGTTTGGACAATCTTTCTTAAAGTCTAGACAGAAAAATGGTGGAGATATTCTTCCCCCCCTTGTGACATTCAACAACAGAGAAGGCACGACTGACACAGTACCTTTGCTGACACCTGCATGCTGTTCTCTTGCATGTTCATGATGGCTTCAGAAATCTTGACATCAATAGGATCCATGACTGATTCAATGTTGAATGGTCCCTCTAATCTCTCCGCTACCAGAAGCATAGCATCTGTTAAAACACAAAGCAGCCATTCCCTTAAAGAAGGGACACCTTTGGGTTCCTCAGGCAGACCAGCATTGCCAGCTGTAGGTATGGATACTGAGCACTCCTCAGCAGGAGTCTGGGGAGATGTGTGGCAGCAGCACTGTGAACCCTGCAGGGCAGCTTACCAGTTGTCAAAAATATCTTCCTCTACTGCTGCCACCACACAAAGAGGAATAAAGACTTTAAAAAGTTAGATTAATATTAGTTGCCATAGCATTATTGAGCTTGGGGTAAAATTATTTTACACAGCTTCTCAAAGCAGCCAGTGCTTTGGAGTGTACTTATGTAATCTCCTTCCCAAGAAAAAGAAGGATGATAGAAATGAATCCTTGGGGTATGTTCTTAGAATTTCTGGGAGATGATGAAAATTTTGATATGATCTATCGGGGTGTTATAATTAAAGCAGCTGTTCTTTCTGACCTTAATGATCTCATTTTCTTGCAATATGAACAGCAGATGAATATTGGATTTCTGCCATAGTATATAGGTATAAACCATGTTTGCCTTGCTACATTTTCAAAACATGGCTGTAAATTGTATGTAGAAACATATATTGTTTGTATGTTTTGGATTAAAACAAAAAAGTTTGCTTAACTTCCATTAGAGACCCTCTGCAAAATAATTTAATATTTTGATGTTCATTAACAAGTGAAAAACAAGCAACTGGACAGAAATTCATGGCAATAAAAAAAGGTTTTACTATGAATCAGATATATTTGTCTAAACACAGACACAAATTTATCATAATTTATGTGGCAATAGCCACGTGATAAACTGGATTTACAATATATCCTTTGACCAGCATATGAACAGGATCCTTGTCTCCTACATTAAAGTTTTCAGCAACTAATTAGCTTTAAGCAGATGACAGATATTGTAACTTTAACATGATAAACAAAAATCTTCACGTGCTCTCTCCTTTATACATCAGACTTAAGCTCCAGAAAGTACCAAGCAGACTTCCTTCCAAAACAGACCCAGCCTGCTTTGCTGCTGTTAGCAAAGTCCCACAGCAGCTGTGTGGAGAAGGCATGGAGCTCCCCACAGATCTGATAGCAGTGCTTGTTAGCTTTATACTTGGCTGCAAGTCACAGAGGTTTGTTCCAAGATGGACATCTTCTCCTTCCCCATAAAAGCACATGGAGGTATGGGAGAAAGGGGCTGGTGTCTCACTGTAGCAGTTGAGACAAACGCCTCCATGCACAGCCTCACCCGAGGACTGCATTGTGTTGTTTATATGCTGTCAGTGCATACCCAGAAATCCCACTGAAGCTGGAATTTCTTGGCATGTAGCACCAAATCACTTTTGCAAATTTACATCTAATATTTCACAGTACTTTTAGGCTGGAAAGAGTGTAATGCCACTTATTTGGAGTGATGTGTATAGCACTTGTTGCTAACTGTGAGAAATGGACAGATGATAGGAAATTGGTTTCAAGCAGAGGTGTTATTTTTGCCTGCACCTTATTTTAAAATTCTGTAGTTTATAGCATTTCCAGTGGGAAGTGGTGAAAACAGGGACTACCTCTGGTAGAGAAAACAGTTTTCATACACACAAAGACACATACATACACACACGCACACATTTACAGATTACAGCAATAAGTTAGTAGTTTTTCCACATGCAAAAAATAAAATTACAAAGAGAATTTGTTAATATGGACTCCTATGAAGTATTTTTTTTCCTCATGTTCAGAATGACTTGTATAAAACATCTATGATTTTGTACTTTGTGAGCAATGCGATTGGCTTAAATCCTAGATAACACAACCAGTACTAGGCCTTGTTAGGGCTTAGGTCTTGGTGGATGGATTTTGGTAGTTTACTTCAGGAATAGGGTTAAGATTAGGGTTACTGCATAAAACAGTGAAAAATGTAGATTTTCCCCCTCTTTATTTAGTTTTGGGGTTTTTTTGTAGGAGTACATTTTAAGTTAAGGACCTCTTTATATGAGTCCACTTTATTTTGGCAGCTAAAAGGTTGGAAAAGTCTAGTGCTAAGTATGTGTTCAAGGACTGTGCTGAAGCAGAGTTCCGTAAATACATAATTGCTGGAGATCTCTTGTGAGAGTGGGTGGTGGCTCCAGTCTACTTGCTGCTTCTTCTGGTGGCATGGGGCAATAGTTCTGAATTAAACCCTGAAGTAAAATCTCAGCTATGTGGCAGCAAAGTGAATCACCTTTAACTGAATAAGAACCACATTTTTAATTTAAGAACAACCTTTCCTCAAGGAAAGGGCCTTCAACTCAAAAATGAATAGCTCTAGGAGATGCAAAATAAAAATATGTTCCTGGCTTAGACAGTTTGTATCTTTAGAAAGATACCCTTTAGCTAATCAGCTATTTTCTGAACCTTAGGCCTATTCATAGACTTAGTCTTTATATATACATATACATCTATCTATATCTATAGCTAATCTATAATTAGATCTATCTATATCTACATCTATCTATATCTATATCTATATCTATATCTATATCTATATCTATCTATATCTATATCTGTATCTGTATCTATATTTATATCCATCTATATCTATATCTATATCTATATCTATATCTATATCTATATCTATCTATATCTATATCTATATCTATATCTATCTATTAGTCATTGTTAAGGAAGAGGGCAAAGTCCGAGGAATGTGGATAATTCCTGGCTGCCAAAGGTGAGCTTTTTGTTATGTTGAGCTTCTTTCTTTTATATGGTATGGTATAGGTCTCTCAAGTGCTGGAGTTCAAGTTAGGTCAGAGTCATGTTTATATTTCAATCACATGGGCTATAGTTTTCAGCTATTGCTCTACATAAAGTAAAGGAAGAAAATAAAAGAAAACAAAAGCTGAGAGAAAAATCAAACAGTAAATCCCCGCTTGTCCAAATTCTTTAATTTCTATGTCCTTCTCTGGCTTGGAATGAATCTGGACCACTCCTGGCAGCTATTCATAACTTAAGTCTGTGTAGCAGTGAGAGGCTATGAGCCCACAGTGACATTTGACACTAGAGCCTTGTGATCTTTTATTTAATTGGATCTTAAGGATATGTCTGGAAAACAAGGGGTTAAGGGAAAAATATAATTTGAAATATTCACACGTTTATTGATGACAGATGCATCTTTATATTTGTATTTTAGTTTTGGGGTTAGGATGTGAGATAGGATTAATGCTGAAGTAGAGGCCTATAGAGGGATATATTTGAAGAGGAAGAGTATGAGAAATGGATTAAATGCTGTGACAAGAGATGCTTGAAGGGCTGAAGTAAAACAGGTTCCTCCTTCAGCATTATTTCTGAGGCTGATGGAAGCTGTGCTTCCAGTTAATGCTGATTTTAGGGATCAACTCAGACTAGAAGTCTTGGACAATTGCACAGTTTGGATGAATTCTTGCACAAATGGAAAATTAATGTTTGAGGACTCATTTTTACTTCAGTTCCAGCAGCTCTGTGAGGCCATGGCTGACTTACCAGTGACCAGGCTGCTGGGTTATTCTTGTCTCCTTCTGATAGGAGTGCTACAAGCTCAGTCTAGCAAAAGAGGATAAACAAGTGGCACTTATATGAATGCCAAAATTATTTTCTTAGCCTCTGTCTGACTGGGGTCTTCCTTCTACCCTTTTTCTAACCATCATGCTGTTCCTAACTAAATCAAACACATCCAGATGATACCTGACAGCCACAGACTGAGAGAAGCCTGGAAGAACAAGGTAGTCTTATTATTGAATGTTATTAGTGAATATTCAGGCCCCTTGGGAAC